ATTTCATGTTGGGTCATCACCCTCCATTCTGCTTAGGATGTCCCAGCAAATGTGTCCCCAGCAGGTGAGAGCCCAGGTTCTTGCTTTCATGACCTTTCTGCCTTCCCTTGGCTCTTTTACAGAGACACCTGACTCCCACGATACTTCTTGTTAAGGCAAAAACAGAAAAGATAGAACTGGGCGATGACTGAAAATAGCTAACCCACTTGAGAGTGATAAAAGCATCTATTGAAAATCTGGTAACCAGATCTCCTTGGTACCAGAAAAAAAAAAAAACAACACACACACACACACAAAAAAACTGGTGGGTGGTGTACACGGTACAAAGAAAGGGAGTCCCTGAGTGTCAGCATCTGGCGAGGCCACGTGTAGCATAATCTGATTAGTTTTCAGTTCCACACCCACAAGCTGAAAGATAAAAACGCACACCCCTCCTCCCTGAGGAGGTAAAAATCTTCAAGCATCAACACCACATTTACATTCTGCAAGTCAGCCTCTTCCATGGCCCAATTTACATCTTGACTTCTCCAGCGGAGCGGTGGAAGTTCAGTGATGAGAGAGGAGCTCACGTCCCTTTCCAGTTACCACATCCAGCAGACTTAAGATTGCCTTGCTTTGATCTGGGAGACATTCCTTTGTTTAGTTTAAACTGAAATGATTTAAGTTGGAGATGAAGCCTCCTCACATCTTCTGCCATGCCTGGGATGTGATAATCGAACATGAGCTTCTATGGGCCATTTTAACACATTCTGAGGCCGTCCTGGACTGGCAAGCTGAAGCAGCAGCGCAGGCACCGTCTGGCTGGCTGCAGTTTGCACTGACTTCGTTGCACTCCCTTAGTACTATTTTCTGGTTTGGTTCACATAAAATGGCCAAAATTAGTACTGGGGTGGATTAATGGCAATGCTTTCTGTCTCCAGAAACCAGTACTCAGGTTGGTGTTTGGCTTGAAACAGCTGCGTAGCGGTGAGAGAACAGAATATTGCTCCTCATTTTGGAGCGTATAATGGATTTCCAGTATCTGACATGTTTTGGACATGACAACAGACAAATCAGAACAGCTTGTGTAGCTTTTGTCTATTAACTCTCAATTTTTCTCGCCTCTTTCCTGTCTCCTTGCCTGTGACCTGATCTATTCTAATAGCCACTGGGTCCCAACCTTATTCAGTAACTGATGGGACAGTCTCAATCTTTTTGACTGCATATTGTATCAAGGTTGCCTGTGTCCGTAACCATTTTGTCCCCCTCCAAGCCCAATCCATTCCACAGAATCATCTTTGTAACAGAGCAACCGGCACTAAATGCAGTATTGCAGGCATTGGGATAGCTGCAATATTATTTTATTTTATTCTTTATGTAGCTTTTATATTGCTTTTGAATGTACTCAGTGCTGCAGCAGATCACAGATTCTCCCTGAGCTATCCACACTTGCTACCCTAATCTTTTTTCCTGAAATAAAATTACGCCTCATGACTGCGACCAAGGAATACAGCTTTTCTTAGCACACTCCCCTGGGATCAGGAATTTCTCTGTCAACGGACACATATATCAATGAGAGATGAAAAGCAGCTTGTGGAATGAGTTTTAAACATGTATCACATATTTCATTGCTGCTGCTTATGTGCTACTCAGAAGGCCTTTTTAGAGTGTTTTCAGCCTATACCTCATGGCTTCTCTGTACTTAATAGGATTTTTTTTTTTTCTGCACAGGAATCAGGGCAAGAGATTTATTTAAGTTGCCTACACTTCTTTGTGAGCACCTCCTGAATATGAAGTTTTTGTTGAGTTTCCTGCTTACTTTCAATGTGAGCACGTCTTAGCTTTTATCAAAGCATAGTAACCCATAACGTGCGAAGCTGTAATGTAATCTCATCTCACCAGGACGTTGCACTGGGCGAGTGTGGCTCCTTCTGTGGATCTCTTTGTCACAACATGACTCCGTGTTACAACCCTAAATTTTAAATGTCCAGAAGGGGAAGGCAAGTCTGCCTTCGGCCCCTTGCTGCTTTCTGGGGACTTGCAGTTCCATTGATGCCTGGGGTCTTCCAGATGTGCATATAGCTCTCTTTCCCCTACTTTTATTTTTTTTGGGGGGGGAAGTGGCAACACCCAAACCCACACATCTCTGGATCATTTCAATTCAACCAGATGTGGGAATCTTTCTTCTTACTTCTTTTTTCCCCCCTCTTTTTTTCCTTTTTTTTCTTCCTTTTTTTCCACCTGCCTACACTAAAGTGCACTGCTAACCTGCTGAATTTGGTCTTTCTGTGATAGACCTAGTTCACTATAATAATAATACACATAATTAAACTCTTTTCTAGCAAAGCTATGCACGGGCAAACAGAGCGTGATGAAAACAAAGCTGGGGGTTATCGGGCACAGGTTGGTGCAGGAGTGGTGACCTATATAACAAGTGTTCATTGAGTTATCTGAAGACAATTAAAATAGTTTGTGCACTGGTTTGTTAGTGAGTCTTTAGCAAAAAGGCACAGAGCACAGGATTTTTCTACAAAAATTCAAAATAAAATTCACTTTGGGGGTGGATTCATTCCCAGATAAAGTCAGCCCTGGCGTGTGAGGCCAGAGATAGGCCAATCATGTTTGCCTTATTTTGAGCCCTCTTGAATTTGCCAAAATGTGGTTAGGAATGAGTAGATGAAAAAAGGGGAGGGGAAGGAAATGCCTTTAAAAGACAGAGTGGAAAATAGGACTGGCAAAGGGAAAAGCAAAAACATAAAAATTGTGGAGGAAAAGATGGAGAAGGAAAAATCCCAAGAGAATACTGACTGTGTATGTGTGTGAAAGTCATTTCTTCAGATTTAGCGGCACCCAGCTTGTACAAGTTATAATTTAAATAGGTTGAAAAGATAATGCTAAAGACTACCAGGTTAGATGTTATCCTGTTAATTAAGCTGCCATTACGGAGTTGTTACAAGCCCACCAAAAATTGTTCCCCATTTAAAGTGATCGATACCTCCTGACGCGAGGAGTAGCCACCAATGTCAGCTCTAACACAGAGCAGCACCTTCTCCTTAAGGAGAAAGCTCCCACCTACCCCGTGCTTTTAGACTGAGTCATGCAGGGGGAGAAAAATCATACTTCAAAGTACAAAATAATGGGTCAACTAATTAATCTTTTTTAATTGCTAGAGAAGTTTCTCCAAAATTAAATTCCATCCAGTTTCTTCTCATCTCCCAACCCAAATCCTTCACTTCGCTATCTAGAACCATGATTTCTCTGAATCTAGTTTGCGTGTAGGCACCATGGTCCCAGTTAGATGATGTGAACCCATGTACTTCAGTACTGTGGTGAAAGGTACCATTAAAAGGCATTTTTTTAAGAGTGGTAGTCTGATAGTTTAATCTCAAGATTCAGTGGCCTCATTTATGCTTTTAAAATAAATTAACCAGTGCCAGAATTGGTTCTCTGGCCCTAAGACCGATGGGACAATCTGACCGTGTCTGAAAGCTGAACTCTCATAGCCTCCAGACAGATGGCTGTGTTCACACTGCTGAGGGACAACGTGGATTATCTCAAGCCACTGGGGATCATCTGGAAGGGTCCAAGCCCAGACCCTACCAGGGACCCTTCTTGTTGTTAAAAGCATAAAAATATCCTACCCACTTACTACTTGTGCCTGTGCCCCAGCACCGCTTCCAGGGATGGAGGCAGACGTGGTTCTGGGTTGCAGCCAGGGGGTCTGGGCCCCCATTTCAGCTCTGCCAGAGGTTTTTTGTGTGACCTTGGTCGGTAACTTAGGGTAAGATTCATTCCATTTAATGTTGAGTAATGGCGAGGGTGTCTAATTAAACTAGTCATGTGTGCTCCCTCTCTGATCGGAGAAGGAAGAGAAAGCAAATTCAGAAGGTGAATCATCCTGTTTTAAGACTGGTGTCAGAGACAAATGAGATTAATTGCCCTCTGGAAGTAGCTATTTCTTTCCATTAACTGTAGAGGAAGTCTACATTAGAAGAGTTTAGACTAGATGCCTGATTTATGAATGGCTAAAGTTAAGTAAAATTAGTCCTGACCTTAATCTCTATGCATGCCTGTTTCTCCGTATGTTGAATGAGAGAAATAACACCTTCTGCGCCTCATGTTCAAAGGCGCCATTGGGTGAGGAGCATCCTATAACTACTTTGGAAGGAAATTAAACCTGGGAGCAAAAAGACAAAAATTAAAGAAGCAAAGCCTTTAGCCTTGAAACATCTCAGTGACAATATGAGCAGTACCAGTTGGGGCATCCTGTTGCTTTTGCCATTTTTCCCTTTTACACTTTGACAGCCGAGCGCCCCTAAATGAGTGCTCCCAATGGGGCCATATGGCACGAGGGCAGTTAGCCTGTTTTTGGGGAGAGAAGTAGGAGCACTGAGGAATGGTGACCATGCAAGGGAGGGTAGGACCCAGTCTTGGCCAGCAGCTTTGAAAGTTTTCCTTGTGATACTGCTCTTCTCAAATGACAATGACTATTTACTTTTTGGAAAATCTCCCAGAGAAATGAAAGCTAATGACTAACTGTGACAGAGGTAAAGAAAAAAAATAAGCGGAGAAGAAAAGCTTGCATTTTCTTCGCAAAAATCCACAACGTATAAACCAGGCATGGCGTAATTGTCCCACTTGATAACTTGTACTTACATATGAGGCTTGCTTTTGGAAAAGAAAGTTTGCCCCTTTAACTACCTAGTGTAGTTAAAGCAGCAAAAAAAAAAAAAAAGACCTTGTGTGGGTGTCCTTATAAGTGCTTATTTTGATCCAAATTGCAACATGTTACACATCTATATGGCTACAGTTGTACTCGATAAGGCTTTTACCAGCACAACCATGCCCAAAACAGAAATCACCCCACCGATGTGGCTGTGTTATCGGGGGTAGCTGAGATACCTATAAGTCCGTTAAATCTAATAACAGGTCCTTAGAGGCCATTTTGGGGTTTTTTTTGGGTGTGTTAAATTACTAAATCTTGTTATTAACGCTTTTATTTTATGATTTGCTGTTTCCAGGGCACAGACAGAAGCTTGATGACTCTAAACCTAGTTTGTTCTCTGAACGCCTCAGTGATTTAGGGCGCATTCCTCATCCCAGTATGAGAGTAGGGGTCCCGACCCAGAGCCCACGGCCCTCTCTGAACTCTGCACCAAGTCCTTTTAATCCACAAGGACAGAGTCAGATTACAGGTAAGAGACAGAACCATAGGTTTGACTTGCACAGGCAACGGTAGTAATTGCTTATGGATATTTGTGTCTCAACTGCAGTAAAACAGGCTGTTACAGAGTGAGAGATGTGTTCCAAGCAAAGCTAGGTGGGAAGTGGATTTTTCTATAGTGTTTGAAGCTGAAAATGTCTTTCTTTTTTTAAAATATCGTATTGCCATAAGTCCGAAATAGTCCAAAATAGTCAATCTGGGTAAATTAAGTAGGAATCTGGTGAAATTCTAACTGCCACATTGCTCTGCCTTTTCCTCTGTGTGTGCAATAGTACATATTAGAGTGAACGTTTTTATTCAGCGTTTTTATTTTGCACTGGTGTGGAGGGAAGCAGCCAGCATTTAATGGTCTTTCTATTGGAATAATAACACAATCATCTTCTCACACGGCGGTTTCCTTCTAGCACCAGTGCTGACCACTGTTGCAATAAACGAACTGGGTTATGGAGAAATCTCCAAAGGTTGCTTGTGAGGGTTGTATGCAACATTTATGATTGCATGCTGAGAGACAGATTTCATTGTGCTGAAAGAAATCATAAAGTACCATGTGTCACAGATTATAAAACCGAAATAAGATGTTTAACTGCAGCTATGCCAGAAGTTTGCAACAAAACTGTGAAGCCTACAAAATAAACTGAATTTGTCGTTTTTCTAAATTCAGAGCTGCTTAATTTTTTCAAAAGAGTGTCAAAACAACCTCTACCTAATTTTGGCCATTTCTACACTGAAAACTTGTGCTGACGTATTTGTGTCTGTCCAGGATGTGAAGAGGTGTTGCCCCTGAGCAATTCACTTGCTAGAACTGTTGGAGAACTTCACCTAGATGTGAGTCCATCAACAAAACTCTTGGCTCAATTTACTAGACCGGTTTAAAACTCAGTTTTGCTGCTATAGTTGCATTTATACCAGGAGATCTTTGCCAGTCTTATATACCAGTATTCCTTCACTGGTAAAGCACTCCTAGTATAGTCATAGTCTTTGAGTCAACCTAGGAAGATTTCTGGTTTCATGTTTCAAGTGGTTTTGACAAGATACCAGCTGAAACTTAGCGGTTTTAACAAAGTGTTGTGGCTTTCTTCTTCTTTCTTTTGCTTGTTTTTTAAGTTCCACTGGTTTATTAATTTGCAGCAAGAAAGAGAAGTAAGTGGGTTAATTTGAACCCAAAGCACTCAGAGAACTGAGACGAAAAAATTGTTCCCATGAGCTGTGGCAAAGTTCTCCCAGATCTAGAAGTCTAACTTTAACTAGCATAAAATATTTATAATATATTAAATATGTCGATAGTACCCATTGCAAGGTACCTGCTGCCCACCAGCTTCCCAGAGCAGGTTTTTTGGCCAGGCTTAGTGTTTTGTTAGGTGGACATGTGAAGTCAGGGCTCTTGTGTGTATCATTTTCTGGGTAAGAACTGCCAAACTAAAGCCCAATATTTTTTCTAACCTACTGTCTTCTGTCTGGCAGTGTTTGGCGATATAGTTCCTGAGAAAGCAGGGGGAAAAACTGGGGCTATAATTAGCTTTTTTCCTTCTTCCTTGTGCCTCCATAGTTTACCTATTGTGCAACACTATATCTAGGAACGAAGGAGGGTGAAATTCTTCCTGGCCCCATCTGGTGATCAGCTTATGCCCTGAAGCACGAGAACTGAGATCCCCTTGTAATTTTCTTCCTAGCTAAGTGTAACCTCATATGCTGCTCTCATTCACATAAATGCCTCCTGTAGAAAATGTTCTGCTGGGTTTGATTAATAGAGTACTTCTCTGCCTCGTTATGAATCAGCAGCAGCATTTACAGATCCGGGAGGTGAAAACTTCAGATGAGCTTTAAATAAGCCTGACTGGAAACAAAGCTGTGTGGCATTCGCTGTCTTCTCTGCAAATGTAAGAGTCAGCAGTTCAAAGTACCAGCTGAGACTTCGTCGAGAGAGGGAAGATGCGGTGCTGGTTGGGCAAAGGGAGGTGAGCCAAGCCGAGGAAGGCAGGCTGACTTTCCCATCTATTGTGGATTACGTGCTTTTCTTGCTGGATAAACTCATGGTTGTGGGATACTTTAGAATCCCAAATTGCTCTCATTTCCCCCAAAGCAGTGAGAACTCGGCTACTTATTAAAGTTTGCAGTGAATATGGGGCTGTACTGTGGTCCAATACAGTATTTGCCATGTTATTCCCCACCCGTCTCCTCAATTTAGAAGTCAAACACCCAGTCCTCAAAGGCTACTCGTTAGCTTTCTGGTAGCCCTCCCATTTAATAAGGCGATTAGCGTGAGCATGTTACATCGGTGCGAGCTCTGTGAATTGTGCTGCCTTCCCCACAAGGCTTTTTGCTGCTCTTCAGGACATTGATTGTAATCTGTAAAGCTCTACACGCTTTGATGTTCCACCAGATTGCTGGGGTGCGTTTTGCGGCCAGTCCCTCCGAGTTCTTCTGGGATGAATGGATGCTCGTTGCCGCACAAACCATGCCAACAAGAGACAAAGCTGATGCTCCAGACGAGGCACCTCTTTGATCGGGTGTTAGGTGACCATGGGAAATCGCTAAACGTCTGCCTGTTTGGTGTGGTAGTAGGGAATGAGCTGTTTGAGCTGTCCATCTCCACCGTGTTCCTTGTTGTGGGGTGATATTCAGTGGGAATTACCCACTGGCTTCTTAACATGGTCACTGGGCTGGTATGGCTTGTGTATGTATTAAAAGGAGAATAGACCTTTGTCTGAAAAACAAGGATTTTTTTTATTACCTTTTATACCTTTATTGGAATTAACCAAGCATTCCTTTAGAAATACCTTTGTTTCTTAATCTTTTTACCTAGCAATTTAGGGAAAATAATTAATTCCTAATAACTTTAACAGTAAATACTGGTTTCCTATGACAAAATCCATATTATTGCTAGTAAGCACATAAACTGGTTTTGTTTCGTTCCACTTGAGGTCTTGCATAGCTATTGCATGATTAAACAGAAATAATATTTAAAGCCTGGCTCGCCCACACCTGAGTCTGAAAGAACTCAGCATTTTGGGGTTCACTCTTACATTTCTTTTCTCTGTCTAGGTTGTGTTTATTTTCCTAGAGTATCAGAGCACAAGTTTTACAAATCACGGCACAGTCCTAAACCTACCAGAGGACCAGGCTGTGCAAGGCACAGAGTTGCCCTTATTCAACATGGCATTTTAACTAGGACTCTGCAAAAGCAACATCGAAGGGTCATTAAAAAACAAATCGTCCAATAAGCAGATGCCTTTGCTGAGGCAATGCAGATTCAATTTGAACCTCGCTTGCTGCCCGTAAATCAGGAATCCTGTCTGTTCACATTTGGATCCTGGTATATTTGCTTTTTTATTTTTTTTCCCTTTCCCTAACAGCACTCGCACAACTTGCTCACGTATCCAGTTACGTTCCCGTTCAGACACTGAGCTGTTGCATCAGTGTTTCAGTATGAAATGAGGAAAACTGTTGTTTTTCTAAAACGCAATGGGTCAGGATTAGCTTCTGTTGGCCAGGAAAAGCCATGGGCGTAATGGCAGGAATGTGGTCGGCGCGAGGACCCCGGCGGCTGGGCTGCGGGGACTGCGAAGTGGGAGTTAAGTGAGGTTTCATGCTCCATCACCACTGTGGCACCGTCTGATCTATAGGCAACCTGTGACTTTCATCACTGAAATAACAGCACTCAAAAGCAGGTCCTGTGAAATCTTTTTTTTTTTTTTTTTTCCCTTTCCCCCCCCCTTGCCCTTCAGGACATTAGGTTTTCTTTTTCCTTTTTTTTAGGGTTGTAGGAAGCAGACTTAAAGGCTTCAGAGCTGGCTTACCTGGAAATTAGTGAGGGATCTATAGGCAACCTGTGACTTTCATCACTGAAATAACAGCACTCAAAAGCAGGTCCTGTGAAATCTTTTTTTTTTTTTTTTTTCCTCTTCCCCTCCCCATGCACTTCAGGACATTACGCTTTCATTTCTCATCATTTTTAGGATTGTAGGAAGCAGACTTAAAGGCTTCAGAGCTGGCTTACCTGGAAATTAGTGAGGGGATGCCTCTCCACTGGCAGGCAGGGACTGGTTTCAGGGGCAGTGTAAACCGAGTTTGCTGGGAAGACCATGGGCAGAAAGAAACTTTGACTCACAGATGGAGGATGAGGACAGTACCAGCTGGGCCCTCCTTAATTCCCCCGTTCAGGACTTGCAGGCAATGGGCTGGATGCTGCCCTTTTGCAGAATCAGGGAGAAGGCAGAAAGCCGTGCTCATCACAGCATTGTCCTGGGCTCTGGATATGAAGCTGTGCAGCATCTGCCTCAAAGACGGGTGTCTGTTCTCCAAGACCATCAGCTGCAGGACAGGTTTGAAACAGAAACTGTGTAGCTGTTCTTAAACCAGCACTATGCACGTGCCCTGCCAGGGGTTGGCTGTGTTTTACCTGGGACCAGCAGCACTCTGAAGCACGCACCAGTTTGTAGCTGGTGTGCATCAATCTGAGAGCGCATCAGACAAAGTATGTGGTTGCCTGGAACAGGTAATTTAGAAATAGCCCAAGTAATAGGCTTACAGGGTGAATTATGCCTTCAGCTCACTGTAACATGGGATAAAAGCTACAAGACTCAGCGGATGAGGTGGTGGAGCTGGGATTTCTGCTGCCACGAACGCAAGGGTGGCTGCAGTCTGCTGTATTTTATGCAAATTGATTGCACCCTTCAGGCGACTGGCGAGTTGCCATTGTGAATCTCCATTTGGTAAAGCTTCGGTCCCTCCTATTAAAGTATTCTTTTAACTTTATTCCCCCCTCCTCCCTTTACAGTTTAGTTGCCCCACTGACATGACTTGTTCAGTTTATTTTTTTTTCTTTTAGAAATGTGACTCTTGGCGGGGTGGGAGGAGAAATGGTTTTAGAGGTTCTTCAGGCCAAAATCTGGTCTCAATTACGCCCCTGTACATTGGGGTGTAACTCCATTGGATTTGACTTCATTGATTGAAATGAGCAATCCAGATCAAGCCCTGGGCTTTTAAAGATGCCTAAGAAATAGTCAGAGAAGAGGAGGAGGTTGCGTTGTTGTTGTTGTTTTGCTGGGGGGGGGTGTGTGTTACAACAATAGTTGAGTTACTCATGCAGAAAGTCATCTTGGCTTTGTTAAGATCAGAAGTGAGGATATTTGCTTTAAGTGTTTACAAAAGATAGTGCCAGACAGCTTGGTTTTTAGTATCGGCAGTAGCACTAAAACAAGCAGCAGCATCCAGTGCTAGAGTTGATGTCTGGATTTAAATGAGAGTGGTTTTGCAAAGTGCACACGTGTGACGTTGGGGTGTTATAGACAGTACGCCGAGGAGCTGCAAGTCTGTGATCATGCTCTGGTCATGTAACTCAGCTTGGAAAATGGGAAATTGATTTTTTTTCTATAGTAAATCTGTGTGTTTCAAAATCCAGTTCCAAAGCAGTGGAAAAACTCGTTCTTCAGGGCTATTGATGGGTTTTTTCTTCTCTCTGTTGACACTTCAGAACATTTCCATTGAAGGAAGAGAAGTCAGGTTGCTGGAGAGCCAATGTCATCGTTGGGAGAACGGGTCACTGGGGGTTTTTTTCATTCTTTCTTTCTTTTTTTTTAGTTTTATACAGTGCGTCCAGTCTTAGACCGATTTTTAAAACCACTTGATGTCCATTAAGCATCAATGTCCATTGTCCATTGATTCAGTCAGTCACAGACCACAAGGGTCAAGAACCATGTATATCTCTATTTACTGACTGTAAATGTGGCAGTAAAACCTAGACACAAAATAATTTGCAATGCTCAATATTTCCTCCTTGGGCGAGGTTTACCTGGCAATGCAAATGGGATGGAGCTGTTTGTGCATTAGTTTTGACCTCACCCCTCTGACTTGTTTCAGCTGAGCCGTGCCCAGGCTTTCTTAGCATATGCACGGTATGCCCTGCTGTGAACGAATATGCTGAAAGCCGCACTTTGCTTCACACCCACGCAGGCGTAACAGAAATGTTTACAAAAGGAGAACTGCTCTAAGTAATCACTCCAAAATTTTCAAGTGCAAATGCCAACTCAGAGTAGCCCTCTGCCTCCTTTGCTGTCATTGAATTCACCCTTCCCCACAGCTGCTGTACAGGAAGGGGGGAAACTTTCTTCTAAGCTGTTCGCTGTATTTTTATATTAGCGTTTTCCCTTGGTTTTGAGGGATTCCTTTCGGGAGGAATCCACGTTTGCTCTGCCTCAGAGCTCTGGGGTTTCTCATCTGTTCTGGGCTTTTCGTGATTGGGAAGATGGGCTGTGCCTGCCAGAGCACGTGATGCTTTGGGTGATGGCGCAAAGCCCCTGGTCCACAGGGACCCGGCGGACACATGTGAGCCCTCCAGCCAGAGCAAACGGAGAAGCCGGTCTTTGGCGTAGCAGACCGAGGAAAACCTCTCACAAATCCACTCATAGTTTCATCCCTGTTGGTACGACTAAATAGGCACTCCACCCCTTCTGTGCCCAAGCGAGGAGGCGGTGACCCTCCTAAGGACATCGTTGTGTTTCCCCCACAAGCATCCGCTTGGATCTGCCCCAGAAGCACTGGCAGGCACCTCCCCGCAACACCCCTGGCTCCCTCCTTCCCCTCAGGAGCTTTGGTGTGGTGGCGTGTGGGACCAGAAGAGACCGGCTGGTTGGGCCTTGGTGGCTGAAGTCTCTGCCCCAGTGGTGTTGCAGGGAACATCTGCTGGTGGGACCAAAGGGTGCCACATGAGACCCAGCTGGACGTCCGCCTTCGAGGACTAGATGGGGCAGCTTTGGACTCTGCCTCGCGACATTTTACTCTGAGGATTGTGCAATGCCACTGAGCAGCAACGTTTACCCTGTGGGCCAGCAGATCACCTGTGACTTGGCAAGGCGAGGGCGTTTCGCTGCTCTCTCTTCACGTATCCCTTCAAACCTTGGCTGCTGTCAGTGAGCGGAGGCTGGTTTTAGGGCATTTACTCCAGGATCTGGTGAAACTCGTATCTTCAGTTTCCTAACGGGCCAAAGATAATGCTTGAAGCCAGTCAGCCCCAGGGCAAAATTCCCCACCCGGCCTTGATCATGACCTCAGCCATGTCTTCACTAACAGTCCATCCGCTCTTTTATCTTTCTCTAAAATACTTTGCATTTTAAAATCTTACAGTATTGGACTCATGAAGAGCTGAAATCAAATATTTATATAAAAAAGAAATGTGGTAATGCGGCACTGAGGTTGGGATGAGCTATAGAAGCCATGTATAAATTTAAGCTATTTGTCATAAGAATATATTATATGCTTTTGGGTCAACTGATAGTCCATCCAGGCCCATATTCTGCCTCTGACAGCTCAGTATGAGATACTGTTTTGAAAGACCACATGAGCCTTTGAAAAAACACTTTTTGCCATTCGTCCTTCTTGTGTCCACACAGGCATTCACACTTGCTGGATTAAGGATGTTTGTTAGGTGTAAAACCAAGTCTAGCATGGGTGTTCAAAGTGGTGAGGGTGCCAGAGACACTCAAGATCTCATGCCATGAGGACTGCACTATGAGAAGTGGCATGAACCTCCAGAAGGCAGCTCCTTTCCTGAGGTTTTCACCATCTTAGACCAAAATCCTGTGAAAACATCCTCTGTCGTGATTTTTTTTCCTAGCCTTTACCTGCTATATAATTTCCTTCCAGCACTGAAGCTGACCTAAAACCAAAACTTTAAGGGACTCTGTTTTGGGTTCGGAAACAGAGATTGAAAAGCTCTTGGAGTTTGAAGGAGCTCAGATTTGAGATTGTGCTCCTGACACATCATTAATTTTAAGATTGTTTTCCCAGCAAGCCTAGGCTTTCCGTTCCCAGTTGAAGATCATTTACCATTGACTGAATGGTGAATTATAGTAGTGGAATGAGGCAGAGAAATATGTCGATATCAGATATAACAACGAGCAGTCAGTCAGATTTGAACCTGCGCCAATCTATACAACCCTAGCCTTGAAATTGTTAAAACAAAGAAGTTCATTACATTTAATGATCAAGTGTCCTTCGGATTTCTGAGGAGTTTATGTTAACCACTTATATTACTCAGCTCTAATATAAATGGCAAACTCCAGGAATATCCTCTTAAAATTAAATTGGAAAGTTGTTTTTATATAAATATATCTATATAGTTATTTTGCTTCAAGGAAGTATCTGCTTTCCAGACAGCTCTTCAAACAAATCGTGTCTGAACAGAAAAAATAAACAAGGAATAGCTGAAACTACAAGGTTTTGCTGTGCTGTGTGGAAGAGCAGGGAAAGGAGTTAAAAAAAGAAAAAAAAAAGTTGAATTTCCTGAAAAAGTGCCTTTGCTTATGCCATGTGGCTATCACATTGCTGCCTACAAAGTAGGGCCTTAGCACAGTGCTCTGGTATAGCAGGTTCTCCAAATTGAGTGGACCTGATGTGCCTCACTGGAAATATTGGGGAGGATTTAGAGGGATGTGCTGCAATTTCTATGAGCCAGTTCAGAGATAGTTTTCTGTTTATCGTGCAGTGCCCAAAACAAACTTTGAGGTTGAAAGTGCTTTGTTTTTATCAATGTAAAGAAATAAAAATAATAATTTATGAGGCATTTGGTGGTATCTTTATCACCAGATATTAACTGAGAGCAAGTGGTTTATAAATCCAAACACCAGTGAGTAAAACTAGGTCTCCCTCTCTCTCACTCAGTGCAATCCACCAGTGCTTCAGCAAAAAATAAACTGTATTTATCCTTGAAACCATTTCCTCCATAGTGAACCCTAGCAAGTACATCAAAAGGCATCGTTAGCTTCCGATAGTTATTCCAAACCATTTGGTTTCATATTGTTGTAATTGAGGTGACTGTAGGTAATTGGGCCAGCATCCAAATGTGACATTTTTGGACGGATGCTGATAAGATTAATGACATTTTCCTTCTTGGATAGTATTTTCAGCACTGAAAACACTACTGTGTAATGTTTGAACTGGATAACAACTTGACAGGCATGCCAAGTGCTGACTGTAGAGTCTCTCCACCTCTGAAGTCCACTTCCTAAGCTCAGACCTGGGTCTCGTACTTAGGGTCTGTTTATATGTCTGAACCCACGAGGACTGGCAAGTCCTGGTATAACATGCTGTTAGACCTGGATGAGAGACATCGGGAATTTGCAGCACAGTTGCTAGGTCTTTTAAAACGCTGCTCACTGCTCTGTTCATATTTCCCCCATAAATTGTTATGGGGAGGGAAAAGCACAGAGTGAGACTTGAAGGGGTTGAGTCCTAGAGGAGCAGGTCACGTTTCATTGCGTTCTCATTCCTTATAGCACTGATGTGTGTATGTTCAATAATCCCACCTCTTTCAATTAGGCTGTTGATGACCTACAATTTTTCTTCCTTTTTACAAAAAATTCTTTGTTTTTTTTTCCCTAGACCCCAGGCAGGCGCAGTCATCCCCGCCATGGTCCTATGACCAGTCTTACCCATCCTACTTGAGCCAGATGACTTCACCATCCATTCACTCCACAACTCCCTTGTCCTCCACTCGAGGCACAGGACTTCCAGCCATCACTGATGTGCCCAGACGCCTCTCAGGTAAAGATCGTGTTTTGCCTAAAACAATTATGCAGATAGGAACAGGACTGGCAGCGGCTGCCTCCGTGGCCTCAGACAAATCTTAATACGAAGAGCAAAGCTCAGTTGGTGATAACAGGGTTACTGCATGGTGGGCGGGGGTCCAAGTCCCTTTTTCTCCGAGGTGCTGTGTTGCTCTGAGCATGTATCGTTTGAATGTCTCTAGTTCCATTTCAGATCAGACTATTTTTTAATTGTGAACCTGATTCTATGAACAAATTATCTCCTTTTTTTTTTTCCCCTACAAGAGGATGTTTACTTGCATGTTTTAAAGTAATTGTGATATTCTCTATTTTTTGGTGCTTTACTTTTGTGGTGTGTGTGATGTTAGGCATCCTGACAGATAGATGCCTTTATTGCTTCAATAGTTAAGGGTAAGGTTCATTCTCCCGCATTTCAATCCAGTAGCTCAAGAAAGCCTATTTCCTTAGTTAATGTGTACTTAAGATGCCTATCAGAAACTAGCTGAGTCACTTTAGGGTAAAGATTGGACAAATTGTGCTTTGGAATGATGCAGGAGAGAGGAAATACGTTTAGGAACGTAGACAAGACAGCAGCAAGGAACTGAGACTTTTTTTTTATCAAACAAATGTACATTTACATACTGTGCAATTCATCTCTAATGGTCTCAGTGATAAAACCACCTGTGTGAAGTAATCTGATTGCCCCAAAGTAAGATAGAGCCTGTCATGGCACACAGTCACCTTGTATATCTTGCCAAAAATGAGGAACCTTAGGGGAGGGAGGCTCAGTATTAAAACTCCAACCTTGCAAGTGTGGAAATATTAGCAGTGTATGCCAAAAAAGCATGTGTAATGTAAAGAAAGCTTTTATGATTCATTAATGAAAACCAAAGAATCAGTCTTATTACATCTATTTTTTGCATGTTTGCAAGATATTATTATAATCTTGGATGCTGCTGCCATACACCTGTTTGACTCGCAGCCAGGTGAATTTCTTGCTGTCGTGTTTTCCTCTTCCACCAAGCTCATAGCGCTGGAAAAGTTGATCACTCCACTGAGCTGCATCACTGACAAGCTGAACTTCAGCCAGCAGGCATGTAGGATTTGATTAGCGTAGACTCCTTGATTTCTTTCATCTTGGAGGAGGGAAGCTTTGTTTCTCAAACAGCTGCAAAAAACCTCTGTGGTCCTAGCGTGCTCTGCCTTCTCAGAGATGCCAAACATCTCCATGTGGGCCGAGGGATGGAGGGTAGTGGAGCAGGTTCTTGCGGGCTCTCCGTGCAATGCGCTGACTTCGTTCAAAAAACTTGATGGGCTTGATGCTGAGGAAATGCTTTGCTTGGCCCGAAACAGGTTCCCTTTGAGTCGGAGCCTCCTGATGGTCTGTGTTGTCAAATGGGTTATTTTTGCAATTGTGCCCCCAGCAATACCTCCAGGAGAGGCTCGGCTGGGACCGTGGCAGCTGTACCGCCGCATACTTGCCCTGCAGCCCTTGCTTGTGTGTGTGTATTCAGACGTGAGCGCCTGGCATGTGGGCACAGGCAGAATGACTAAAAGACCTGGCTGTGTGCATTATGTGGCCGGGGACTGAACTTTTCTGCTGTACTCTACAGTCGGTTGCCTTCGCGCTTCTTGCCCTTCATCTTTTGGGGGCTCGACCGATGCCTCTGCAATGCTCTTACCTTTTCCCAGAGTGGGGATCTTGCTTCCAGTTAGACTCAAGATTGAAAAAGGGGACTTGGATCTTCCACAAGTGCCAGAGGTTGTCTGCAGTGTTTGCTGATGTTCAGAAACACAGAGCGGCAT